GTCCAGGCAGGTCTTGAATATCTCCAGAGAAGGAGACTCGACAACCTCCCTGGGCAGCCTGCACTGTGGAGGTACAGCTCCTCCAGTCACTAGCAGTCCTAACAATCTTCTGCTGTGCTAGTACAGGGCTTCACGGATGTGTTTTCAGGGCTAGGGTATCTTTCAGAGAATAAATATACCAGGAGGCTATAAAGTCAAACCAAAAGTCCATTAGCCCAGCATCATTTGCAGTGGCCATCCTCAGGTGGTTAAGGAAGATGGCTAAGAACACAGCAAGGACACAACCTCTCCTCTCCCCCCAAAACTTTTCAGTTTCTGAGAATGAACAGCTTTGGGAATATCTACTTGCTGACGCTTTTGGTATGATTTGTCTTTCTCCCAGGGCATTCAAAGTCTTCCTTTATTTTGTAACATCATTTCCAGTGGAGGGACTTGAGGAGTTCGCAGGAGAGGACCATTGCTCGGGACCAACAGGGGCAGCAGTCAAGCTGAATCGTCCCCTCAGCGGGGTCTGCAGGCTGCTCCCAGACCTGGTGCAAAATTCTTCGCAAGCAGTGAGCAGGCTGCAGAAAACCAGCCCGGGGCCTGGCCACCGAGTTGCACGGGGAATGCGGACACACAGACACATGCTGCTATGTTTCTTCAGGTAACTCTTACAACTCAGGTGTCCAGCAGCTCATGTTAAAACTTTGAGGAGAAATGGGAAAGCCTCTAAGATTGCCATTTGAATTGCTCCAATTATTGATTGCAAATGCCTTACCAGAATATAACCCCAGCTTCAGGGGTTTCCCATGCTCAGAAGGACAGTTGAAAGTGGAGACTGACCGGGGGATGTGGAAAACATGGCATAAGCAGCATCTCTCACGTCAGAAAAGGCATTGGCTGCCTGCAGGCTTCCGAGTAGGTTGCTGTGTGGTTGGCAAGTATTTGTTGTAAGAGTTCTGGGCCTCCTGAGGTGACAGGCAGCCCTGCGTGGGGTGCAGGGACTCCCACCTGCAGAAACCATGTCTCCCCGTGCGAGCTGTCACAGGGGCGCATGGCTTTGAGGTGGCGAGGTGGAAACATCGAATGCCTTGCAGTGATGGTGCTGCTGCATGAAGGTTCTGACCGTTAAATGTGTGGGTCTGGATTTTAAATTACTGTAGCCTTGCTCTGAATAGTCAGTCTTTACTGCTGCCTTGTCGTTGGAGGAGTGGGAGAGCCAACACAGCTGCTTGCAACTGCTTCCTCTTCTTGCCATCCCTCCCAACTCTCCCCTGCCCAAAGACACCAGGTGTTACACACAATAGACTTTTGAGGCAGGGTCTTCTCTACCCTTTAAAATGTGCTTCTGCTGTGAAGCAGAGCCATATTTTGCCAAGTTAAGCGTGGGAATGGCTATGTGATGCATTGGTTGTTTTTTGAAATGTTGTGGTGACAACGCACTGATTGATACATGGTTCTTGATGGTCTGCACCTTTTCCTCCTTCAGGAGTAATATATGTTAAAATGTGTTTTCATTATGTTGGACTTTTATGTATCTGATTTTAAGTTGGTGCTTTGCATAGTTCAAGGCTTGTAGCTTTGATGTGTAATAGCAGACAGCTTAAGGCTGTGGTTTGCTCTTCATGTCAGAAAGCAGTTTGTTTCGCTATTTTTAACTGTGTCGCATCCTCTTCAGGGTAACGTACAACTAGAGGGTTTGTTTTCACTGAGCTCTTTCGGAGGGGGAGGAGGCTATGTCTGTGAGACAGATCAGCTGCGTGTTAAGATCACAGGAGCGTCAGTGAGAAGAACTTAATGAACTGTACAGCTGGAAATAGGGTCTATCTGGGATGGATGGTCCTACACGGAGATAGTTCTCACTTCTATGCAACCACATCTGGGCCCCTCGTGAGGACAGAGCGGGAGGGGAGCTCCGGGTACATCTCTGCAGTTCCCCGATGCGTGGGAGCCACCCCGTAAGCAGCCAGTGGGACCAGTGTCCGCGCTGGACCAACTGCGTGCGCTAACGTTGCTCTCCTCGTCCCCAGGACAGCGAGCATCGGGAGACCGGAGCAGGCTGGCACTGCTGCTGTTCATCTCCCATGCTCCCGTGGCCGCAGGGCTCATCTCCAGGCTGACAGCCGGGTAACTTCCCTCCAGCCTCAACATTCATTGGGATGAATCCGAGCGTGAGCGGTGCCGTTCCCCAGCTGGAAGGCTGAGGCTAATGGAAGAGTGACGCACATGTTGCACGGTCTTGTGTCAGCCACCGCCGTCAAGGCTGAGTAAAAATTTTAATTTATTTTAATGTAGTTATTGAGGCGTTTTAATTCCATCAAAGGAAATAACAGAAGACAATCTACAAATATTCATTTGCTACTTTTAAATGAATTTGTTTCAGCTGTGCTTGGTTTCTCCTTTTTGCATTTTAGTTTGAGACTTCTCGCTTACAGGCACAAGTATTCAAGGATTGTCAACCTTAAAAATTGCAATCTAAATTCTGCTTTTCCTACATGAATATTTAAACAGAGTAATATACTCTGATCTTTCTGTAAGGCCCCATTTTTAATCATTAATTCCTGTTCTTTTGAGCAAATAAACCCCATATATGTGAGACTTGTATGCATTTTAAAAAAAGATAGTTCTCTGGGACGAGTTCCAATATGACAATATTCTGTTTATGAATATTTATAGATCCATCAAAATTGGTGAATACTGAATTTGCTGATAAACATTGTGGAGGGTTATTTTACTTTTCTTTTGAAAGAGTCTGGAAAAATATTTGCAAATTGGGTCAAATTCAGTATATAATTCTGGTCAAAAAGCATCTTTTTTATTTTTTTGGTTAAAAAAATTTTCAAACTCTCAAACTTTTTGATTGAAAGTAACTTTTACATGCATAATGTATCCAAATTGCAAAAAAACCCCCAAAACTTTCGACAGCATTGAATAACAGGAAAGAAACCAAAATGTTTCATTTGTGGCAAAGATTTTAAGTGAACAAACATTAAATTTGGGAGTTTTTTAATGTAAGAGTTATGTTACCTGTTGCATGTTACTATCAGAATACCAATCAATGTGACTGCACTGGCGTTGTTTCCAGGTTGCAATGAAAGCTTTTCATCTGGATGCATCAGTGTTTTGTTAGAACTGTGCGGAAAACCATCAGACTGTTCTCTGAATGTCCATACGTATCGCACTGTGTTTAAGAAAAAACTATTGCCTCTTGCACTTGGCTCACGAATGTGGCAGCATTTGTTCTTTCCGTGCCACAAGTGTGGAAGCGTTCTGGTTTTTCCTCTGTGCACCAGGTCTCCTCACTTGATATATTTTACATTTAAAATGAAATTTTTAATGCTGCATAATTGAAGCCTGTTAATTTTACAGCAATTGATACCAGATGAAGATTTAGGTTTCTGTGTGCACAGTGAACCCTGGCTCCCTTACCTCCTCCTCTTAGCGCACACCGAGAAGCACGCTTCTATTTAACTATGAGTGTGAACTGTGCGTGATCTAAATAGCCCAGAAGGAAAGTCCTGTTGCAACACATATGACATTTCTGAATCAACAATTGCACAAAGATATTTGCTTGTCTGGTGGGTATTGGGTTTTGACTCGGGAAGGAAAACAACATATCAGTATTTCCCATGGGATGGAAACACAATTTTCCAGTCATATCTAACTGCGGGTGACTAGTTCAGAGAGTAAAAGATCAAAGAGATACAAATGATGGCATAAAGGAGAGAGTGACAAAAGACACGACGACAATTTGAGGGAATGCAGAGGAGACTGATGGAAAATGAGACAGCTTTATGGGCAGGCTACAGGGAGCCTCAAGACAAAAGCACGACCGCTGATTTCTGGCAGTAACATCAGCAAACTGCCGTCAGGATGTGGCTACTGCAGTGTCGTGGAAACAGGCACGCGCTCCGAGACCTCGGCTTTGTCCCCCAGCTGGCTGGGGGCACGGCAGTGCGCTGGTCATGAGCCTGTCTACTGTGACAGAACCAGCATGAGTAGCTGCTGCAGTAGGGTGCTCGTCCTTGAGACCTCAGCAGGAGAGGCTGGGAGTTTCACTGTGGGAATGCGTATGTATATTGTTCAGTACAGTGTAGTGCAAGTTTGCCATACCAAGCTGGGGTCATGTGTGTATGATATCTGACCACAGGATAGTATCAGTGATGCTCTTAGCCAAATCCACGTTGAAGAAACAGCTGAATGGGTTTACATCTAAATTCTTCACTGAGAACCATGTATATTTCGATTGGAAAGCTTTTGGCTAACATGGAGTTCTGCTTTTTTTGTGTGAACCAGAAAACAGTGTATTGGGATAACAGCACTGTCTCAATCTTACCAATGCTAGCTGCCCTTTTGCCAAAAGAGAGCTAACAATTTGTAAGATATGGGTTGTTAAAAAGTATATATAGTCCTCTGTGTCTATGAAAGCAGGAAACAGATGTTTTTGGTCTCTTGCAATAGGACGCTTGCCCTTTTTGTTCCGCTACAGAAGTGGAGTTACCCTTCAAGAAATTAAAAGCATGCAAGGGTTAGGAATTGTTTCTTTGTCAAATGGTTGATGAAGACAAGATTGTGAGTTTTCCTATGCGTGCTGTTACCTTGATTTTTCAGAAAGAGTTGTAATGCATGCATGTTTGCTCTTGCAAACCCTTTTTTCAATCTTCTGCAGGTAAGTTTATGAAGCAGCGGTAAGATGTCTGTAGCTCTTTTTGTGCTAGCTAGCTGGCATGAATAGTGAGCAGCTAGAGAGGCCTGTAAAATAGTATCAGAGATCCTGGATTTTTAAAACCTGTTTGCAAACAATATTGTTTTTTTTTTTTTTTATTTTCAAAAGCCTTTTTGCTTTACTTTCTTCAGTATAAGAATGATAGTAGACATGGGGTCTTGTTTAGAACTGATGTTTTCAAAAGAAACAGAGGTTTTACTGCGTGTTCCCTTTGAAGGGATTTGCGCATTTTGTAACTACATGCCATTTTCTTTGCCTTCACTTTCTGCAGTGCTGATTCCTTCTGCTAAAGATGGTTCAGACACGGGCAGTTCTGGCTGCACTCCTTTTCTTGCTAATAAATCTGCTGGGAGGTTCAGGTAAGTGAGAAAGACCCAAAACTACATGCAGCACTCTTTGGTACTCTGTGTTTCCAGCTCATCAGTACACTGAAACTTTGCAGCTCACCATGGGAAGTTTTGCTTATAGTTTAATGTGAATGCAAAGAGTGGTGTCACCTCAGCTGGCAAAATAATCTTGTGCCTTGCAGTGTGGCACAGGATGATATATCTGATGGGAATCCAACACAGATTGGCTGAAGACCTGTCTCCTGTTCAGCTGGGACAATATCGTGAGAGCTATGATTTCTGGTAGAAAAGGGATTTACATATGCCCCTTCATAAATATGCCTTGTGAATTAATGCACCAAGTGGTCTTGGGTTTTAACCTTGTTACAGGTGTATGTTCCACTGCTATCCCTGGTTTTACTTGCATTTTAACCAAAGTGCCTAATTCAATAACAATATAATTTCTTTAAAAAGTAGTTTCCTTTCCCTTAAGGGTGGATATTGCCCTCCCTATCAGTTTTTCAAAGCCTGTACTAAAGTGATAGAAATCTGTGGTCTAAAAAAAGACGGAGGACTTGCAGCTCACCAGCATGCATCACATACCTGCATAGTGTCCACAGTGGCAAGTCACCATCTCCACCACATTTCCAGACTTCAAAGAGTGACAGCAGGATCTGGACCTGGAAATTGAATACTACTTATATGTGTCTGCACAGAGCAAGGTGTCCCCAAGGCTACCAGTGCAGTAAGGAAGTAGAAATATTAAGGGTGATGAAGCCAAGAGTTTCCTATGCTTTGATGGCAGCTGTAACATAATTTTTAATGTCTATTTTTTTCTGATGTAGCTTACAACGTGGTGAGTGTGGAGGCTGGTCATGAGGCTGTGCTGAGTTGCCCTTACGTCTCCAAGGTGTCTTTGCTAATGGTGACATGGAAGACGACATGCAGCACTTGCTGCTTGTTGGCCTATAGAAGTGATTACAACAAGACAAGGAGGTTAAACTGCAGTGAGAGGATGACATGGAAATACTCACCTGACAGCGACCCTGCCCTTCGTATTTACCCTGTGAACCTCGGTGATGAGGGAAATTACACCTGTGAAATTGCCAGCACTTCAGGGAATTTTCTGCTTTTCTCTTCTCTGACTGTGATAGGTAAGACACACCTTGTGATTTATTTATTTATTTATTTTGTGTGTGTGTAGATAAAAATTATTTGATTAGGTGGTAAAAGACCATTTTTGGATGCACACTGAAATTGAAAATAAAGAAGTAAGCTGATTTAGTCTGGCTATTTGGTGAGTGGAAAAAGGCATGTGGATTTATGCAATAGGACTGGGCTGTTCTATGCATAAATAATCTGGGGGGCATGTTGTATTTGTTTTTTTAACTTCTTTTGACTCATGAACATGGGGTTTTAAGATGCACCAGGTTCAACAGTCTGCACAGTTTCTGAGAGAGCTCTTTGGATGTAACATGGGCTTTGAATGTCGTGTGAATATTCACACAACCAGGAGTATATACTCTTGGTTAAGTTAATGCAAACAGAAGACATCAAATAAATATTGATGCTATAAGCTGAGCAAGAGGATACTGATCCAAAATTCACAATGAGGGAAGCCTGTGTTTTGTCTGTGTAGGACCCAAACGGGAAGGAAGCAAACATTTCAGGACACTATCTGGAAATATTTCAGTGTTCCAGAAATACTGAAAGCTGTCTGTAAGACTATATCGCTAAAATAAAAAGGCAATTATTCTGTTTTCAACCTAAGTGGGAACAACAGAATAGTAGGAAACATAATCAATAGATCAAATAATCTTTTTAAGATGGTCAAGTAAACTGTCTCTAGGTTTCCGTAAATTTAAAAGAAAAACATAGGAGAAGCTTTTGTGTTCTGGCCGTATTAGTTAATTTTTTTGTTATACTCATAAGACATGGGAATTTAATTTCAGAACTCTATAACTGCTATTCTTAATTTTTGTTACTTGATTTTTTTCATTCTTCCTTGCAGGTTCTTGCCTTTCTGATAATGACTTGGGTATTGTCCGAGCCTTTGCCTGTTTTGTCAAATGCAGAATATGAGTTATTGGACTTTTGGCAGAACAGTTTTGTCCGATTCCTCCTTTATTCCACTGCTGTCAAATTCTTGATTCTACCTACCTAATCTCCTAAATATTGTAGCTGGAGCTTCAGCAAGCTGTGTTTTCTTCAGCATGTGCACGGCTGTACTTACAAATCTTCATTTAATCCACCCTTTTCTGTCATCCCATCTTCTCCTGTTACCACTGTAGTCACCTTTTGGATAACATGAGGAAGCAGTATTTTTAAGTGCAGCTAGCTAGTTTTGGAGATATTCATCTTGGACTTTTTGATGTATTTTTTTCCCTAAGGATCGTTGGTGCTAATATTCCGAATTATTTTAAAGTATCTATTGAATTGGTCATGCAAACTAAAACATATCACCTATTTTTCCGTTTCTCAGTTGGTGATTTTATACTGAACTAGAAATAATTGTGGTGGTCTTCTTTTTCTTCTTCTGTAGTTCCTCCAGCAGTGACTCTGACCTCTGACAGCAGGACTGCCATCTGTCAAGCATCTGCTGGGAAGCCAGCTGCTGAGATCTCCTGGATCCCTGCAAGTAATCACAGCATTGAGGAAGAAGTCCATCACCCCAATGGAACAGTGACCAGAGTGAGCTACATAGGCTGGGTCCACAGCACGCTTCCCACCATCACCTGCCTGGTTACCCACCCAGCTACAAACCAGACTCTGTCCCTAGACCTCTCATGTAAATAACATTGTTCTGTAGTTGCTCTTCATCATCCTCTTGTGCTTTTCTGTGCTGTTCTACGCAGCTGTTCCCACTGAATGCCAGGGCTCAGCAGATTGTTTAGTGGCGTGATAGGCCGAAGCTGTAGCGCATGTTGATAGAGAAATTAATGATTTTGAGTTAGTCAGATGAGAACAAATGTTTTGTGGCTTTGTATGGGGAAGCTTCTAGTGCGTGCTTCTTTCTATCCCTCTTTTGTTTTACAGGAGTTCCTCATTCTGCTTGTGGTGGGTTGACCTTGGCAGGCTGCCAGGTTCCCACCAAGTGCTCTGTTAGGGAGAAAACTGTGATGAACAACTCATCGGTCAAGATAAGGACAGGGAGATCACTCAGCAATTATCATGACAGGCAAAACTGATTTGATTCGTGGAAGTTAATTTAACTAGGGAATGGTTTGGATTGGAAGAAGCCCTGAAATATCATCTAGTCCGACCTTTCTGCCATGGCCAGAAACTCCTTTCACTAGACCAGGTTACTCAAAGCCCCATCCAACCTGGCCTTGAACACTTCCAGAGAGGGGGCATCCACAGCTTTGGGCAACCTGTTCCAGTGCCTCACTGCCCTCTTTGTAAAGAATTTTTTCCTTATATATAATCTAAATCTATCCTCTCTCAGCTTGAAGCCATTATCCCTTGTCCTATCACTCCATGCCCTTGTAAAAAGTCCATCTTCAGCCCTCTTGTAGGCTGCCTTCAGGTACTGGAAGGCTGTTGTAAGGTCTCCCTCAGAGCCTTCTCTTCTCCAGGCTGAACAGCCCCAACTCTCTCAGCCTTTCCTTGTAGGAAAGGTGCTCCAGCCCTCGGATCAGTTATGTGGCCCTTCTCTGGACCTGCCACCCAAATCAGAGTAGGATAAGTGAGATATAAGAATGAATCTAACGGCAGGTTCACCCCTCCCTTCTTCCTGGGCTCGACTTCAGTCCCCATTTCTCTGCATCCTACCCCTGAGTGATGCAGAAGGATGGGGAACCCATCACAACACTTCATCTCTGCTGCTGCTTCCTCCTCATGCTCTTCCCTTGCTCCAGTGCGGGGTGCCTCCCACAGGAAACAGTCCTCCATGAACCTCTCCAAAGTTAGTCCTTCCCACGGGCTGCAGTTCTTCACAAACTGCTCCAGTGTGGGTCCCCCGTAGGGTCACAAGCCCTGCCAGAAAACCTGCTCTGGCATGGGCTTTTCTCTCCATGGGTCCTGGCAGGACCCTGCTTCAGCATGGGCTCTCAGCGGGGTCACAGCTTCCACTGGGTGCATCCACCTGCTCCAGCATGGGCTCCCTTCCACGGGTTGTGGGTGGATATCTGCTCTTCCATGGAACTCCATGGGCTGCAGGAGGACAGCCTGCCTCATCATGGTCTTGGCTCGGCCAGCGGCGGATCCATGTGGGAGCGGGCTGGCACTGGCTCTGTCGGACATAGGGGAAGTTTCTAGCAGCTTCTCACAGAAGCAACCCCTGTAGCCTCCCCCTCCACTACCAAAACCTTGCCACGCAAGCCCAGAACACTGCTGCAGTGACCTTTTTAATCAGTCATGACAGAAGAGGTGCTTTCAGCAGCCACTGTGATACAGCTCACTAATTTTTGATGTGAATCTTTGAATCCCTGGAGCTGAACTTTGTTCAGCTTCCCAAAGTAGTGAGGGTCTGGAGAAAAACTCATTGGAGAATGTCTGTCTGTTACTTTCAAGCGATCTTTCGCAGGGTCAAATGTATTAAAGGGTAAAATTCAGCTTCTCCTCTGGCTGTGCTGGACCTGTTAGAAGCCAATGCCAGTAGAATTTGTAAGAACAGCTAAATACATGCTCATGTCACAAAAATCTCAGTACAGGCATGAAAGACAGACTTCAGCATAGATCAGTTGTTAAGAACAGCATTTTGCAGGGATGGCTGGTCAGTTCTGTTGTTGCAGTGCTAACATCATTCGAAGAAAGGGAGATGGTGCAGGCAGAGGAGTTGAAAATGAAAGTGTGCTTGTACACAGAAATGACTGGGTGTGTGAGGCAGCTGCCTATTGCTGGCTGGCGTCCAGACATCTCGTCTGTGTCTCAGCTCATTTGAGCTGTGGGGGGAGAGGATTAGCTTTCTCCTCTGGTTAAGGTAGGCAGTAACATCACGTAGTCAGTGGATATTTATGTCTAGCTCTGTAACTAGCTTTCTTTTCTCATCTCTCAGACACTTCCCCCAGGCTTCTCTATCTCCTGATAGGAGGACCTGCAAGTGTTGCTGCTGTCAGTGGTGTGACTTTATGTTTGATTTTCGTGTGCAGAGGTAAGTCATTTGATGAGCCTAAAATGCATTACAATTCCGTTACTGACTATGTGCAGGCACAAGGACGTGTACTTTATTGCTGAGAGTGGGCTGGGAGGCAAGGATTGAGGAAAATGTCCTTATACGATGCATTATCCTTTTGGAAAAGTCCTAATAAAATAAGGGGTGGAACTTTAAAACAAGTCTGGCATTTTGTTAGAGGCATAGTTATTTGTGATATGAATGCGTCATATATATGGCAGAGACTCACTCAGGATGAAAAGGATTCTTTCTGAGAGTAGGGTAGGTTCTGAGTTTTTGGAATTATTTTGATAGTTCTGCATTTAGTGACATAAAATTCTATACACAAGAATGACAGTTCACAAACTCATCTAATGATTAGGCACAAGCAACTCCCCTGTTTCCATAAGCAATCATAAATTTTTCCTTAAGCAAGTGTACAAACAGGCGAAATGTACATACTTCCCTCTGGTACCCTTGCTGTTTCTCAGGCTGTCTAGGCTTCATTGGCACCGAGTCAGGCTCATATGGAATAATTTGACACAGAGAACTCAGACAATGGTTTGCTACACTTAGAGCCAAGTAAGGTGGCTGTGATGGGGTAGGAATGGTGCAGAAGCCCAAGTGGAGGCTTAAAATAGGAGAGGAGAGAATGGCAGGATGAAGGCCAGAGTGTTTTCACGAGAGCAGGTGATGCAGCACCGGGATAAAGCAACGTAGAGGCAGGTGAGCTGTAAATGGAGGGAACCTGAAGAGAATCAGAGTGCCTGATTTACTCCCCTCCACTGCCTTAGCTCTGTTCTAGCTTTACTGCTTGTCTGGGTTTCTTCTTCGTGCTCAGTGTCTTTCAGATTATTCCCCCTGTTTGGGCACATTACATTGCAGACATACTTCATGAACCAGGTCTGAACGAATCGGGTGAAAGAGGGTTGGCAAGAGGCGACAATGAGGGGAGGTGTTCACCAGAACAGCAGAGAAGGCAGAGTGAGCAAAACAGAAAGACAGGAGAAGAAAACAGAAGGGCAGTTGGCATCGGCGGTGGCAGCACTGGCCAGTGCTTGCTGCACTTCAGTGGGAGCCTGTCCCTGTCACAGAGTGACGTGCTCCTTTGGGGCAGGTGAGGAGAGGAGAAAACATGCTCTGATGGGTTCCCTGGCCCAGCATGTCCCTGCAGAACTGAGGAAAAGTGCACCTAACCAAGTCAATTCAGTCATGTCTCCCCGGGGTGACCAGAAGTTTCAATGAAGGGAAAAATAAAAGTGCGTTCAAGAGCAGGACATATAAACTAAAGACTTCACCCATGAGTATATGTTTTGAAGAAAATCTTTCAACAGCTGAGGGCAGCTAGAGAAGAACTCTAGACATACCAGCTATGTACCTTGGCCCATCAAACCTTTTTAATTTCCTGACATCTTTCTTTCAGCTTTCCGGTTACGTAAACTGGCACACAGGTCGGCAGTACCATTTGCAGTAAGTGGGCTTTTTTTGTGTTTGTGCTTTGCAATTTTTGTGTATTATTCACTTAAACATGTAATTTCATTGCAATGTGCCAGCTCTGGCAAAACTCCTGTTTATCTCTGTGTGTTCTTGGAGCGGGGAGTGAGGAACAGTGTATCTGGGAAGGTGTCTGTTGTTTGGATGGCCCTTATTTTCATATATAGTCAGAGTATCTGAGTAATTGCTCAAGCACTAGATGAAGAGTGGCATAGTGCATTTCCTGCCTAAGAATACAGAATCACAGATGGTAGGGGTTGGAAGGGACCTCTGTGGGTCATCTAGTCCAACCCGCCTGCCGAAGCGGGGTCACCTTTCCTGTGCCTCAGTTTGTGCCCATTGCCCCTTGTCCTGTCACTGGGCACCACTGAAAAGAGCTTGGCCCCATCCTCCTGACACCCACCCTTCAGATATTTGTAGGCATTTATAAGGTCCCCTCGCAGCCTTCTCTTCTTCAGGCTGAACAAGCCCAGTTCCCTCAACCTCTCCTCGTAGTGGAGATGCTCCAGTCCCCTCACCATCCTTGTAGCCCTCCGCTGGACTCTCTCCAGTAGCTCTTCATCCTTCTTGAACTGGGGAGCCCAGAACTGGACACAGTACTCCAGATGAGGCCTCACCAGGGTAGTGTAGAGGGGAAGGAGAACCTCCCTTGTCCTGCTGGCCACACTCTTCTTGATGCACCCCAGGATCCCATTGGCTTTCTTGGCAGCCAGGGCACACTGCTGGCTCATAGTTAACCTGTCGTCCACCAGGACACCCAGGTCCCTCTCTGCTCTCCAGCAGGTCCACCCCAAGCCTGTACTGGTGCATGAGGTTGTTCCTCCCCAGGTGCAGGACCCTGCACTTGCCCTTGTTGAACCTCATCAGGTTCCTCTCTGCCCAGCTTTCCAGCCTATCCAGGTCACGCTGAATGGCAGCACAGCCTTCTGGTGTATCTACCACACCTCCCAGTTTGGTGTCGTCAGCAAACTTGCTGAGGGTACATTCTAACTCTTCATCCAGGTCGTTGATGAAGAAGTTAAACAAGACTGGGCCCAGTACTGACCCCTGAGGGACACCACTTGTCACCAGCCTCCAACTAGACTCAGCGCCGCTGATGACAACCCTCTGAGTTCTGCCATTCAGCCAGTTCTCTATCCACTTCACCGACCACTCATCCAGCCCACACTTCCTCAGCTTCCCTAGGAGGATATCATGGGAGACTGTGTCGAAAGCCTTGCTGAAGTCAAGGTAGATAACATCCACGGCTCTCCCTTCGTCTACCCAGCCAGTCGTGTCATTGTAGAAAGCTATCAGATTGGTCAGGCATGATTTCGCTTTGGTGAATCCATGCTGACTACTCCTGATAACCTTCTTTTCTTCCACTTGCTTCATGATGGCCTCCAGGATAAGGTGCTCCATCACCTTTCCCGGGATGGAGGTGAGGCTGACCGGCCTGTAGTTCCCTGGGTCCTCCTTCTTGCCCTTTTTGAAGATTGGAGTGACATTGGCCTTTCTCCAGTCCTCGGGCACCTCTCCTGTCCTCCAGAACCTCTCAAAGATGATGGAGAGTGGCTCAGCAATGACATCCGCCAGCTCCCTCAGCACTCGTGGGTGCATTCCATTGGTGCCCATGGATTTGTGGACGTCCAGATCGCTTAAGCGATCCCTCACACAGACCTCCTCGACCAAGGGAAAGACATCCTCTCTGTAGGCTTTTTCTCTTACCTCTGGGGCCTGGGATTCCTGAGGGCTGGCCTTGGCACTGAAGACTGAAGCAAAGGTGGCATTCAGTAGCTCTGCCTTCTCCGCATCCCCCGTCACCAGGACACCCGCCTCATTCAGCAGCGGCCCCACATTGTCCCTCGCCTTCCTTTTGCTGCTGATGTAGTTGAAGAAGCCCTTCTTGTTGTGTTTGACATCCCTTGCCAGCTTCAATTCCAGGTGGGCTTTGGCCTTCCTCGTCGCATCCCTAAATACTATTGACTACATTTACAATGCCAGTAGTCAAGCTGATTTTTAAATTTTACAGATTTAATGTTTTCACATTTCTGCTTCACAAAGTAATCTTAACTCTGATCTCTTACTTAAGAATATGTGTTGCCATTGATGGGAGAAACCTGCCTGATTAAAGATCAGACGAAAACAGACAGGCATTCTGCATTGAGGGAAAAGGGTGCACTTATGCTATATTAGAGACTAACATGGCTGTGAAACCTTTATGTTTTAAGTTGCTGTTCAAACACTTACAAGCTAGAAAACAGCAGTGGTAAATTTGCCACCTCAACTTTTACATCCTCCTAATTCCAAGGTGTCATGATACATATTTAACAGCATGATAATATGTTGCTCTTTCCTCAGGGCTTCTGCCTCATTTAATGCAAATTGAAAGAGCAGTTATTTCATATTTTGTTTTCTGCTCATGGTTAAATTAATGGCCATGTGCCTTGTTTGTTGCAAACTAGTCAAACTGCTCTCAAGTTAGGATGATTAATTTCCTGATATGCTCTTCTGTGGCATTCAGGACAATTTGACTGACGGGAGTGGGAGTTGCAGAGATCAAAGTCAAAAGCTTCCAGTAATTTTAATTGCCTAAATTGGATTGCCTGTACACTGCCTGTTCTTTTTTTCAGAGAAGTTAGCATTGTTGATTATCATCTATTTTGCTGAAAATACTGACTTTTCAAAATTTATTTTCAATCACATTAAGAAAAAAAAGAATTCAAAAGGCTGTCCTGTTTAGGCTTTGTGAAGGTGGTTGTTGCATCTCTCTGTCAGTTCAGGGTTCACCCTTTGTGCCCTACTCCTTTGCTCACAGAGCTCAGGGAAACAATTTCACAGTTTCTTTGGAAAAGCAGTGTTGCCTACCAGATTTCTTCTGGTCTTGTTTTTTTTTTTGGACCGTATAGGCGTGATAGCTCCACAAAATTCTACCATGTAATATACTGGTACATGTTTTTCTTTATATTGCAGACTAAGAACTTCAGGTCCACACCATTACGTGAGAAAAGAGATGCGGTCAAGCCTCCTGTCTCATCAGAGATTATCTATCAGAATTACAATCCAAATATTATATATATGAACTGTTAACAGTGTAGGCACAAGCAGTCTAACACCAGCTCAGCTAGTAATGATACTCAGTTACTTGAACTTGTACTTCAACTAACAAATCTCAGACCATGCTGTGTAGCAGGCCAGCAGAACACTCAAAACTGCCCCACAAAAGCCTTGGTCTGTTCTGACCTGAACACAGTGGGGGAGAGCAATCCGTTTTAGTAAATTATTTCTCTCTTTCTCTAAATATCAGCACAGCTCTTCACAGAATGGTAGGCGTTGGAAGGGACCTCTGGGGGAGATCTGGTCCAGTCCCCCGGCTGAAGCAGGTTCCCCTAGAGCAGGCTGCACAGGATTGCATACAGGCGGGGTTTGAATATCTCCAGAGAAGGAGACTCCACAAC